ACAGACACACACACACACACACACACACACACACAAACTCTCTCTCTCTTTCTCAAACGCAGGCATACACACACACACACACACACACACACACACACACACACACACACACACACACACACACACACACACACACACACACACACACACACACACACACACACACACTGGATGTATCTAATACATATGTAAAGACACAGACACACACACGCACACACACACACACACACACACACACAACGAACAACACACACACACACACACACACACACACACACACACACACACACTACACTACTACTCTACTACTACAACACACACACACACACAACTACACACACACACCTTCTGTCCTCCACTGCTTCATCCTGAGCTTTTAACACACACGCACGCACACACACACACACACACACACACACACACACACACACACACACACACACACACACACACACACACACACACACTTCACTCTCCCATCTTCACATGGCACTGATTGTTGTTCCTCTCTCGATTGGAAACCTCCAATCCTACACCGCCTCTCTGCTATAAAAAAGGGATTTCTTCATGCTGGGCCTACTTTTAGTGCGGTATCCCCCACTAAGAACTCAATTTTCCCGACCCACCATCAAACTGTGGAACCACCAGGGGGCTGGAGTGACCCTGGCAATCAGCGATGCTTCAGCTAACTGCATCGGGTTTTCTGTTTGTTTGTTTGTTTGTTTGTTTGTTTGTTTGTGTGGCTCTGTTTTCCCTTTGTGTCCTTGCCTGTTTTTCCAAATACTTCCAGCGCCCTCCTTGCCAGTCCTGCAGGCAGCAATCACAACCACTAATGGCCTTCTCGCAGACATTAATCTAAGCCCCAAGGAAACATAAAGCACTGTTATGTCTCAATGAACCTTGATGGGCACTGGTTCTGCGACAAGAAACCTTTGAAGGGGCATGATGATAATTATAATGGGAATTCCTTTGGTGGGCAAATATGTGTAATCATGTTGCGTGTGAGTACTTCCATCACACACCATTTAGAAAGCTTCACGGCATTTGTGGCTTTTTTAGTTGTCTTTAGCCAGCGTGAATGTGCTGAACAGACGTGACCTTTCTTTAAAAGTGCTGTTTCTCATTCACTGTTGCCCTCAAAGAAGCTCCTCTAGCTCCACTGCTAGTTGAACAAGCTTCCCTCAGTCTTTGATGTTGATCACAGTTGGCTACATTTCTACACACACACTTTCCCAGTTTCTCTGGTTAATCAATCTAGTGACCTTCAAACCAAGAGGATAAATCCAACTGAATATATTGTTCTCTCCACTTTTCCTCTACAAGCAGGTCGCATTTCTCAAATATCAGCATTGAGGAAACTACGTTTTGACCCTTATTGTTCCTAGTAGATTCCAGTAGAAAAGCATTGTTGATCCCATTAATGTTCCACTACTGTCACCATCAGGTGGATATGTCAATACAGCTATTTGATGGTATCATGAAATGCACACATGACATTCATTCCCCCTCATTTTCACTTGATTAATTGTAATGATCCAATGACTGAAATCAAATCATCGTCTCCTTATTCAACAATTCGGAAGATGTTTCGCATTATGGGCCCGTTTAAGAGAAGCTAATTGTTTGGATAAACACACGTAGTAATGCAGCGTGACATTATTCATGCTCCTGTTGATTAGTGCTTAATTTACGTTACAAAGGTAGGTTAAAGTGAGTCACTCGAGGTTTCACAGGATAAACAAACATCTCAATAGGAAAAACATTTTCACCCTGACATCCCACATACACAGACTTTGGTGCCTTTTGTACACTTCTATTTCCTTAGAAGTAGAGGGTTACATAAAACAATTAAATATGTGGATTATACATACATTGAAATGCATTCTTTTTTGTAGGCACACTCTAACAGTGAATGAGAACAAACCCGCAGTCGAGCTGAAGGTGCTTTATTGTGAAAGCAAGCCTTTACATTCATCGAGATCCATTCTCTGGGCTCTGGTTGATATTCAGTCACCACTGTGAAAAAGCTTAAAGGCTTTAGTTACTCTGTTTGCTGCAGCTGCTTCTGCTGCACGCGCTGAGCCCCTCCATGTCGGTATCATCATTCCCTGGCACACCGTCTCAGAGCCTCCCAGGACATTATTGCCATCGCCCTGTGCCTTGTGATGGTATTATTTCCAACAGATGTGGGATTATGGACGAAAGCGCCCCAAACCCCCGACTCCAAACCTGTCCGTTTGCTGAAGCATGATGTTTACATAGTCCTTATTATCAGACCAGATTCTATATATCCAGTACTGCATTGGAAATAGAAGCATGAGTTTCAGTGCATTGCATTAAATATGTTTTGCAAGTAAGAGATATTCAATAATGGCATTTTAAGTTGTGATTGCTTATAGATTGCAATATCATGATGGAACACATTTTGAATTGAAAGGGAAATTATACATGAATTGACCGGGTGAAAATGTTTTGGGCAAATTAAATACCAGGAAAACAAAGGAATTATTACACATCGATTTAAAAATAAATAAATATATATAACATTTCTAATAGTATTTATGACAGTATATAGTGATCTAGATTCTAGACCAATAATTTTTTTAATTGTGATATTTTGACCTTTTTAAGCCATACATTTGAATAAAAAAATGAAGCCGCAGTTATCTCGACTTTTGTTTAAACATTTACTGACAAGTAAGAAAGAAAGGTTTGAAACTTTGAAAGGTAGAAGTAAACCTGCAGGGAAAGATATTTTGACTTTGTGATTCCCTTAAGATCTACAAAGCGTTGCAGCATCTTTCAGCTTATTGTTTTAGTTTACTAAAACGCTACATTACTCTTTTTTAAATTACCTCAAAACACAAACCATTGCCATTTTCCACCTCATGAGGCAGCTGTTTTGTATGCTAAAGCTTTGAAAAACACAACCGTCTTAATCGTTACTGGCTAAACAGCAAGATATTTCCCTTGCATGATGGTGGAGACCAAAACTGAGCGAAAAGCAGGATGAAAATTCAACTTAAATTCATCAGCTGGACGCAACTCGTCAACTCGTTGCATAAAAAAGGAACTATTAAGCCATTAGGTTATAATATGTCAGTGTTGTCACTACAGCTACATGTTATTGGTTTTACATTGGTTTAACAACCGGCCATCTTCACACTGCATCACCTCTCCCTTACAGAAAAGCACCAAGACAGCGATGGAGCTGGGCAGGACGTTCGCCACGCTCTTCTCCGACATCTCCTTCAGGCAGAAGCTCCTGGAGACCAAGACCCAGCAGGAGTTTAAGGAGGCGCTGGTGTTCCAGAGGCACCAGCTGACGGCAACCCTCCAGCAGCCCACCGCCCTGGGGAAGGAAGAGACGGACCCCCGCAGTCAAAAGCCCCTCGAGGTGGGCACCAGCTTTTATATGTGTGTGTGTGAGAAGCATATCCTGTGTAGACAACCTTTCAGTGTAAGGTGATGAGGCACATTTCCACACTTTGTAAAGCACCGTCTATTCACATTATGATGGCATTATGAGTCATTTCCAGTGCCCTGAGATGAGGCTTCGTTAGCACTCACTTCCTCTTCATGTCAGACTTAATGTATTTCCCGAAATCTTGTCCTCCTATATCTTCCTCCTCACCTTTTACCTACGTCTCCTCATCTCATTTCTATACAGCGCTCTGAATAGATGAACTATGCACATTCATTTACACATTTCAACTTTTTTTTTGACCCCGCTTCCAATTCTTTTTTCATTTATAACACCCCACCTCCTCCTCATCCTCCTCATCATCATCATCCACTTCCTCCTCTTCCTCCTCTTCGCTCGGTTGGCGTGATTTCTCCATCTTTTCCCTCCACCTAATCAATCAGCGTCAACTCCTGCCAGGCCTCCTCAGTGGGCAAATGACCTTACATCTCTCACAGTCCTGTCAGATCTCCCCACCCTTTAGCTACATGTACACACACACACACACACACACACACACACACACACACACACACACACACACACACACACAGGGCTCCCTTGTAATAATAAATGGTTCCATGATGTATGAGGATTTAATGGATGAACAGTCCTTGTTGAGCAAGCGTGTGTGGCTTCATAAAACAAGCCGGTGCACTCAGGGAGAAAAGCAGAGATGTTGATGTTGTTTTGTTTTCAGGTTGTTAAAAAATGCTCCGTTCTGCCAAAAAACTTCAAAAGTCTTTCGGATGACGAATGAGGCAGGAGTGATTTTCCTAGGGGCTTTTCTTACTCGCACACACACCTTCGTCACCCCTAGTTGTGTAATGCCATGTTCAACAAGAAAATGAAACATTCGGTAATTAGATCATTTGCTTAATAAGCTCAGGAAGGACTGCTCATTTGCTCTAACGTGTTTAACCTTAAAGCTTATGTTTTAAAGAAGCACTTTATGTCTCTCTCTGTGAATCACGTGTTTCTTTCCCCAGCGTCTTCCTCTTGACATCTCTAAAAATAATCTTCCATCCCTTGCAGGTAGCTGTCATCTCTTAGTGATTCTTGATCGTTCAGGGATCTTTTTTTAAATCTACACAAAATGTAGTCCCGCTGATCTGCTTACTTCCTTTTGGATTACGCAAGTGAAGCTTTCCTCGGACTATCTCGATAAGTTTTATGATTTCAAATCAGCTTTCCGAAAGCCTCCTGTGGAATCACCAGGGTCTTAGCTGAATCATCAAATGGTTCATTTTTCATTTTTATTTCATTGTCCATACAGTGCACCATGGAATAAAGTTTATGAGTGGTATACAGCCTCTGGCATTTTGTGATGTTGCAGGCTTGGGGGTCACCATTAAAAATGATCAAAATGCCTTGGAGCAAAATGTTAACTTTGCAAAAACGTGATACACTAAAAAGGAAAACGGAACTCGTTTTTGAAAAGCTGGTTACGGTTTCTCCAAATGGGATAAAAACTAGTCCTACAAATACCAACCAGAGCCACCTATAGGCGAAGAAAGAAAATGCTTCTGCCATTGTAACGCCCACATTTGCACAAACAATCAATGAGTGCAGTTTTGCTTCCCTTTATTTGAAAATGTCTACCTAGCAAAAAAGGTAAATATCATAATTTTTGTTCTCACACTTTGCTGTGTTTTCCCTATCAAACCCAAACGCTTTATCATTATTAAAGTGAAAACTCCAAAAAACTATATAACAATACAATTTCGCTTATGCCTGGAAACACAAAAAACCTTTGAAGATTGTGTTATCTAATATATAATGTATTGCTGTTTCTAAACAACAACAGATGTGTAAAGTTTAACATTAATATATTCTGCGCCAAACACAGAGTCAACCCACATTGCAAAATCACTCAACCCTTTTTTTAATAAGCAAATAAAATCTGCGTCTGTTGATGGTTCAAACTGGCATGTTTACTCCTACAGATTACCGCTGATACTTAGCCACGTGTGTGTAACCTTTCCTCTTGTGTCCACAGTATAAAGACTTCTTAAGAGCCGGCCGGGGGATTTACGAGGACCTGTGCCGCCGCCTACCTCACTACCCCTCCGACTTCACAGATGGTGAGCTGGCCCTTCTCGTAGTGAGAGTGACTCATCTTCCTTAATGTGCCAGGGTGCTCTGGCAGCTCCTCAATTGTCTGTCACCCTTTGCCTCGGACACCCCTGTGCTCCATCTGTGTCACATCGAGCGTTGTCTCCTGCTAAAATGTCTTGCTGCTCCAATATGGTCCAATATCAATGTAATTTCCCAGGTCATCAGGCAAGCATATTGCGCTGTACATTGCAGAGTGGAGGTTTTATTGACTCTTCAAATCCTTCTCTATCCGTGAAAAGGTTTCTGTCATCAGTCAATTGAATGTACACGTGTTGCTTGACCTTTATAAATTAGCATTTATATATATTTCTATACAGTATGAATATGTTTCTGTTTAGCAGTAGCAACTAGAGATGCTTCCAAATTTCAAGGAATAATTTCACTCATTTATGGAGAAGAGAGTTTTTGCGGCTGCTCTCTTTCAGTCGCTACTCATTTCATAAGATCCAAACATGTACGTATATCAGGCTGTAAATAAAAAACAAAGATACTTCTGTCTTGTGAGGGTCATCAGATAATGATAACTGTTTAAATGATAACTGTTTAAATTTGATAGATGGATGGATTTGTTTGATTAATGTTTAAATGATAACTGTTTTATTCCAAAGCAAGTTATCTATCATTACGATAGCGAACTGCCCTTAAAGTGGCCCTATTATTCAAATTTTTTATTTTCTACCTCTGCTGTGACATGTCTCCATGCTTTAATGTTCGAAAAGCTCTTTATTTTTCTCATACTACCTGTGCTGCAGCACCTCTTTTCACCCTCTGTCTGAAACCAGAGCCCAGTCTGCTCTGATTGGTTAGCTGGACGGCTCTGTTGTGATTGGTCAACTTCTTAGGTCAACTTCTTAGCGGAGAGTGTGTGGGAGAGAAACTCCCTCTGGAGAGAACTTGGGGATTTTAGCCTCTGCAGACCATTTACATGCACTAAAACCTATATAACACAGTAGGAAAGGGAAAACCCAGAAAACATAATGCCTCTTTAAAAAATTGCACACAACCCAAACACATAGCTCATGTTTTAGTTTTTAAAGGATAGTATTTAGTATAAGCCTTTGTAAAATAGTTGTACTCGATGTTTCCGTACTGCTGAGGCCCTGAATGATGTTGTCTGTTAATGTTTTTGTCACCTCGAAATTAAAGCCTCCTCCGCTCCATTATGAGGTGAACATGACTCATGTGTTTGTGTTTTTCTCCCCTCAGGTATAGTCGGCAGTAATAAAACTCTGCTGAAGTACATGACCACCGCCATCTTCCTCTACATCGCCATCCTCCTCCCCGCCATCGCCTTCGGATCCCTCAACGACGAGAGCACACGTGGGGAGATAGGTACGAGCATGTCTGAACAGAGTTGGGAGGTTACTTTGAAATGTCTTCCGTTACAATTGCTAGTAACCTGTACAAAAAAAACGACTGGTAAAGGGTAGTGACAGCTGTCTATGTAGATAGATGGATGGATAGATAGATAGATGGATAGGATAGATGGATAGATGGATAGATAGATAGATGGATAGATGGATAGATAGATAGATGGATGGATAGATAGATCGATAGATGGACAGATAAATGTATAGATAGATCGACAGATAGATGGATGGATGGATAGATAGATGGATGGATAGATAGACGGATAGATGGATAGATGCATGGATAGACGGATAGATAGATGGATAGATGGATGGATAGATAGATGGACAGATAAATGTATAGATAGATAGACAGATAGACAGATAGATTGTCACGGTTTGTGAAACAAGCAGGACCCAAATGCAGATTTAAACTGAAACTTCCTTTATTTCAAGGCTATGAGATATATGTACAATGACAAAAGCAGAACTAGTCAGGGACAAAGGACGAACCGACCAAGACAGACAGAAAACCCAGAACTTAAATACACACAAGACTCAATCACACAACAAGACACAGGTGAGGAGGGAGGAGAAAACACAGGGACCCAGGTGAACATAATCAGACAATTAGACACACCAGGGAAACTAATGACAAGACAATAACCCAACTTGTCATTAGTTTCCCTGGTGTGTCTAATTGTCTGATTATGTTCACCTGGGTCCCTGTGTTTTCTCCTCCCTCCTCACCTGTGTCTTNGCTCAATTTAACACTGTCTTTGCATGGGCTGATTCTGTGAGAACAGCACCATCTACAGGCCTGGCATATGTACTACAGCGTCTCCAGCGCTTTCCAACGGCAATGTCCGTGGCTGTCTCCTCCTGATTGGTGGAGTTGGCCCAAAAGCCGTAGCGCCACTTCTGTGATGTCATAGAAGTGTTCAAATCTGGATCAGTCTGTATCAGATCCGTTGCAGCCCCTTTTTAAGAGATTTGGGTATGGAGGAAAATAGAGAGGGTTGTGTTTTCTGACACTTGGTGAGTTCCCTGGAACACCGGGGACACATATTCATGTATAAAAGACGTACAAAAGTGCATTTTGCATGATAGGTCCCCTTTAAATGACGATACATTATTTTCTGCCACTAGGGGGCTCTCAAAGGATGAGTTTGGTGTGGCGTCGCAGATAATTGGAGTTTGTCATTGGAGTCAACTTTTTGGTTTGTTTTAAGACCATTTCTTCACAAAAGTCTCCTTTTCTCCAAAACAAATGGCATCTATGAGTGAATCAGGTAGAAACAGTAACATTCATTGTGTTTTCCCTTGCAGAAACAGAGTGGAACGGCTGCGAGCTAAAGGCTAATGTTTTCTCTGTTAATCTGACAACTTGAGAGCTAGATGTTCAAGAAGTTTTTGATCAAGAGCTGAAATATTCATAGTGTCATCCTCTCCAAAATAACATACGTCATTAAAAGTGTGTGGCAGCTAGTTTGCTTAGCATTATGTCTGTTAACTAACGATCCAGACATCCAATTACTAAAAATCTAGCTACAATCTTCAGTTAACAATGTCCAGGATCTAAAAGGTGTATCGTCAAAATGTGGCTGACGATAACCGTGACGCTACACTAAAGGGATGTTTCCTAGTTAAAAACTGTTACTGTTCATTTTAAGGATATCTTTGATTTTAACATATAACATTGCTGAAGTCTTTTCTTTTTTTATGCAGGAATTGAATGTAGCCTACTGTTATGTAATTGTGTAACTTTCAACATCTGTATGATTTATCTCTGTGCTGGCAAAAATAACAACTGTAGTTTATTGAACTTGACCAATGACATTTATCCTGATTAGGGATGCCAGAGACTGACCATGATCAAATTCGAAAATCGGACAGCCCTGGCGAATATTAATCGATATTTGGCTTCCTCCAAGTTTACAGGTAAACAAACTGGTGGTGTGACCAATGGCCATTTACAATTATTAATACTATTACTATTATTAGCATTAGTCTATATTTTGGTTGAAACTAAGAAAAAAAAGAAAAACATAAACAATAATAAAAAAATATATAAATAAAATCGAATTTGAAAAAATAATTTTTGATTATGGAGACCGTAAGGAATATTCGAAAAATCGAATAATCGCTGGCATCCCTAATCCTGATACCCCTATTAGATCTACAGGATAAACAACTCACCAACCATAATGTAAGTCTCCTTCTTAAGTGAGCATCATGTTGAAGGTTGAGATGTTAAACTACAGTACATATGCTTTTAGAACTATTTAAAAAAAATTGTATAACAGTAGAAACCATTCTGATCAACACTTTCTTTGCAGAGAGTGAAACGACCTGAATGCGGCTCCTTCTGCATGCCGTTTCATCAAACCAGAAGAAAGTTATGGGGCAAACAAAGTTGTACAGGAGACTGGTAACACACTCATATTCATGGTACTGCAAACTATTTAGGATGGAAAGTGTACACAAAATGGCATAGGTTAATGTTATGGTAATGGAATATGAGCTAGGAGCGTATTCTACAAATGGTTTCTGAAAATTGAACTACAGCGCCAGCAATCTCCACGACTACATCGCGTTCAAAATAAATTACATCCAGCTATCGTCATCTCATTTGTTGCAAATTAAATTGTATAAAATATTTATGATATAGTGCAGTTAAGGCGGGAGAGGGGGTGGTTTGGCTGCAGGCTGGGTTTGAAAGCTGGATTGATTCATTTACTACGAAGTATCTCTGCCTCTCAGTCTGCTGAACCACCTAAAAAACTCTGCTTCTTACTTTTAATTGGACAAAATACTCATTTATTATACATGCAACAAACTTGAAAACAATGACTGTTTATTTTTGATAAGTTAATAAATCAAATGGTTGCTTCTTGGCTCTCATGTATGGTTTATTTTTGAGAGAATTGTCTATCCTGCACCACTATAATAACCAAAAGTATGGCTTGTTCTTCATTAAGTGCTGGATTTATTGAATATAAATTACAGTGTTAATCTGCAAACAGACGATAATACGGAAAAATAACTAAGGACATTTTCAATCAAATTGACTAAATGATCAGTTGAAGAGATCTAATTAGCATCAGTCAACAAAGAATTCTCCAGTCGGGGAAGCCACACTAATTAGTGAGCTGCAAATGTATCTAAAAAGTGTGGATAATCGTTTCCAAAGTGTAAATCTGGGGCATTTTTAATGATTCTCTCTCAGTGCAATTGGCTTTTTGAGAATGACACATGAATTTGAGGCTGTACTGGTGGAGGCTCTGACGGCAGGTATGATGCTGGAGTCAGAGCGGACTATAAAATATTGAATAGCAAAATGACAGTTATGTGGGAAAAACATAAATGGGAGACTGTGAGAGAGACATTTATGTGAGTTCATAGAAAAGAGGTATTTGCTGTGTGTTTGGGAACTTACTTTTGACTGTGCCTTTCACTGCATCCACCACAAATGCGATGGAAATGAAGAGCGCAATGACCTCCTCTGTAGACCTGGAGAAACAAAGAAACATTAATTAAGAGGCAAAACAAAACTATTGATGAAAAAAATAGTGTTGATAAAAACAAAAATTAGAAATAAATAAACATGCGTGTTTGCAGTAAGCATCCATGTCAGTTGAAAAACATCATCCTTCTTTATTGTATCCTAAAATGGTCATAATTACTGTGTGAATTATTGAGTTATGGCCAAATACCTGCTTTGTGACATCAATGTGACCTTAACCCTTGACTCTCAAAATAAAATTAGTATCCTAGATGATGTTGTTCCAAAATTGGTCTCATGTGTTTCTGAGATATCGAAGTGAGGTCATGGTGAGCTTTGACACCCCAAATTAGACAGGGCAGAGTAGAGAGAGGCGAAGTCCCTCCCCTTCCGGGGGACCTGACCTCCATGGGACCTTATTTCGGAAAAAGCATGTGTTGAAGTCAATGGAGAGAGAAAGATTATCTTATCCGTTTGAATTATGCCACGAATTACACAAATTATGTTTGTCAATTTAAAAGATAATTTCAAAGTCAACATTTTTTAAATGTGTTGTAAAACTGTGAAGTAACACTTTGTGTGTGAAACCGCTCAATTAACTACATCTCCTGCCTCGCAGCACACACCAAGACGGCCGTCACGTTGGCACATTTCACTTCTTTCTTTCAGAATGAGGCGAAAAGTATTAAACGAGGTGAAAATCACTACAAGTTTGGGCATGTTGAGAGCTGTGCATACACACAAGGGGAGTTAGTCGGTTCCGTAAGAGCTAGCATGCGGGACTGGGATTCTGGGATTTGTAGTCTTTCTAGTTGCGTATTTTTCATAGTCTTATATTTCAACAGTTTTACGACAAACTGTGACTTTTTTTACATGGAAATTATCTTTTAAATTGAAAAACATCATATGTGTAATTCGTGGCACAATTCAAACGGGATCGAAAGATAACTTTTCTCTCTCCATTGATTTTTCCGAAATAAGGTCCCATGGTGGTCACCGGAAAGGGAGGGACTTCGCCTCTCTATTGAAGATGACATTTTAATTATTTTTCTTCCAGGTGTTTCCAAGTTGTTTTATGTTGGTGCCACTGTTGCAAAGATAACCACATTGTTTTTCGTTTTCCTCAGAGCATGTTTCTTGCAGCAAATGAAGCGTTTTATGCTGACCATCAGGAAAAAGCAAGAAACATATTGAAATATTTTATAATGTGTCCCTTCCTTTGATGCAGATGAATGTGTGGTGATCAGATGTATTATGTTATCTGGCGACATTTGGAGCTAATTTCATGAAACATAAGTTAGCAACACTGTGCAGGACACACTGTATTTGGTTTTCCGCAGCATTGTGCCGTAAATGTAGCCTTCACTTTCCCAGGCAGACAGAATGGGATAGCGAGAGCGAGACTTACAGTATAGGGAACCAATCTAAATGCAGATGGTATCATTACTCTACAGCCATTACATTATGCAATTAACATATATTTCAAAATGATAAATTAATGCAGAAAATGTGTTGATTTCCCCCTCAAATCTTTTGGTTTTGGCTAAAGGCAATAGGGAAGCAGAAGGAACGATATAAAACTCTGGATGTGTGGTAGCTGGGAGGAGAGCTGTCACCCTGAATCGTCTCTGAAATCTGTTTGTTGTAGAAAACAGATTTTCCGTTGAGTGTCAGTGATTCTGCTGCAGATACTGACGTTTTAACGCCCAATTAAAAACATTTTCAGTTTGTCAGAGAAGGAAGACAGCAAAATAATTGCCTCATAGGTATGATTTTACTGAAATAAGTGGTAGAATACCTTTTAAAGAGCTTCATGAGCAGACTGACGTTGAAGATGCCTCCCAGGATGAGGAAGAAGCAGTTCCACAAACCGATGCAGGCGTAGAAAGCGGGGAAATCCAGGTTGTAGTCGTCGCAGATTCCTCGTATCACTGCACGTGTATACAAACAAATACACAGAAAAATTAAGATAGATCATAGAGATGTTAGTGTTAAACAATTGACGTGTGTTTGGTCTTTTGCAGCAGTAAGCTAGTCTTCCCTTATAATTAAACACCAGTGCTACCCTCCTCTGGGTAACATGTGCCACATTGAAATTGTATGCAAAAAACCACAACAAAAGGAGAGTGATCGGTGATGGTTAAATTGATATATATTCTGCGAATACAGATTCTTGAAAAGCAATTGAATATAAGCGTAAAACGGAGGAATAGTTTTTTTTATAAACTTCTATGCATGTTATAGCAGATATTTGACTTCACACAATGAAAAATCTTACGTTTTTCACTCAAACATGAGAATGACAGAGAAATTGAAATGAGTTTGTTAGGACTATAACAATTTAGATGTAATGTCGAGCAGATTTGTGTGCAGATGAGCTACAACCTAACAAACAAACCATTGTGCTGCTCAGAAAGGCTGCTGGAAACTGTAATTACCCCCATGGGAATGTGCTTAGCAGAAATCTAACCCATTTACTTCAAAGATCGTCACACCACAAACCCAACAAACAGCTTCGGTATTAAAAAAAACTACAGAAACTACATCTTGGCATCGGGGCCGCTGCTCATCTCATCGCTGCCTGATGCCGTGCTTCCAGCCGTCACCATCGTTTAAAATCCAAGAAAACACCGCTGCTGGGTACAAACCGACAGCAGTGCACATAACGCTTTATGTTCTGTTGTCGCTCACTACTGAATATAAAGTTTACAGGGTATCGTGGGTGAGCTAGTTTCCTCACCCATTGGCTCTGTACGGGAAACTTCTGCAGCAATGGAGAGTCAGGACTCAGAGAGACACGAGGAGAGTTGGAGCTTTGATGTCAAACAATGATGTTTATGACAAGTCAAACGGCCGGAGAATTCATATCACAAGTCACAGCAGCAAAAGGTTCTGACTGCACGGGTGGGTTGTCATGTCAATTCTGCCCAGCCTATCTCTCGATAGACCTTTTAACTAGTTTACAGAGGGTCAAATCCACATATTGGGGATGGGCGTAAACATCTGCAGACACAGGAGTCGTCTCTCACATCTGTGGAGCTTAGAAAGCCAGCGTTCTCACAATCGTAAACCCCCCCTGTGCCCATCAGGTCAGGCCATAAAACCTAGTATCAACATACGACTGCATTAACACATTCCTTACGGGAGATTAGAAGCAGGGATGGTCGTAAATGTCAACACACAGAATAAGATTAAATATTTTAGGAGTAAGGAATAATTATTCTTTGACACTTAGGAGTAAGACAGAAATATTCCCTTACAGGCTCCTCAAACCAAACATTATGTAACATCTTTCCCATTCATTCCTGAAAATCATATTGTTTTGGAGATATATTCTATTTACAATACTCAATCTATATAATTTGTGCAATTTTTCAACAGTGCATCGTTAAGGATTATTACCGTATCGCACATTTGGCGCCATATCTTGGTTCCAAGCATTAACATATTTATGAATACTAATACACCGCTGTATATATCAGAAACAGAATACTTGATTTATGCATGGGGAAATTGGGTTTCAAGACAGTTGCATAAATATTTTTATTAACATAAAATTAAAAAAAGTAAAAATGTGCAAATAATATTAATATTTATTTTAAAATATGTGAAAAGTGTGAAAAAAACCTAAAATAAACAAATAGAAGTTATAGAAACAGAAAAATATGTGCAGAAAAATATAAAACTAAATAAAAGTCTTGATATTAACATTAGAAGTTTAAGTAAAAATGGTGCATATTGTACAAAACATATAAAAAAATAACAATAAATATGAAAAATGAGTATATTACATGTTTGCAGCGTTGAATATATTGAATCCATTATGAATATGTCTACATATGTATTGTGATATATTTATAAATATTGTGCACATTTCTACTTATGTTCTTACTTCTGTTTATTATAACAACTGTCACAAAACTCCCTTTCTCTCTGTGATGAAAACATTATTTTGATTCAGCTTTTTTCTTCACTGCACCAGGAACACTCATCAGGGGCTTGGTGTGGAAAACCGCTAAATGACTCCAAAGGTGGTGTTTTCTGGTTAAAGAAGGACCAGATGAGGAGTTTCTAGGTGCTGTTCTACACGGTTGGGCACCTCCTTCTCTTGATTTTCGATGTAGCCCCCCCCCCTGACCCCGGGCTACTTTTTCAAATCAACCGTCGGCAGAAACTGTGAAAAGATAAGTGTGTGTTGGCTGAGCAGAGCTGGGTGAAAGAGGGGAAAGCCTACCGCTGATGAAGATGGCGAGGGGCGCGGTGGTGAGGGGGATGACTAGAGGAGAGCCGGCAAACAATGAGTAGATGACCCCGCCGATGCTTTGGCCGATGATGGTCTTCCGAACATCTGGACAGAGAAGACACGCAGAGAAAACTCAGGAGGAAGTACTGATGGGTACTCATTAATCTCATTATTCTGTGTGGATGTCAGCAAGTTTCTTCTGTAAAGCTGAACACAAGCTGGAGGAAATTAGATCAAGCAAACAGGGAGGTTATATGATCAAAACAACTTTTATTTTACACCATTCTGAAGCTTTACTAATCCATATTTCTATATGTTGCTACATGACACTTTTGGACACTCTCTGCTCCGTAGCTTCTCTTAATAACTGGACTTAAACTCCCACTGTACATTTTACATTCATTTTATTCTATTTAAAATTATATAATCCACATTGCACACTAATATCCAGCATTATATTTGTATTTCCACATGTATATATATTTTCTATTTTCTATTCTTTAACTTTTTTAATTTGTAATGCTATTTTATTTCTATTTCTGAAATATTTTGGAATGTTTATTTCTTGTGTCTTAATTTCTCTTATGTACAATGCCTTGTGTTTTTATGCTAACATTTCCCAAATTGGGATCAATAAAGTACCCATCTATCTATCTATCTATCTATCTATCTATCTATCTATCTATCTATCTATCTATCCATATACAGTATCTATCTATCTGTCTATCTATATACTGTATCTATCTATCTATCTATCTATCCATCTATCCATCTATCTATCCATCTATCCATCCATCTATCCATCCATCTATCCATCTATCCATC